TAAAAAAAAAAAGATTCCCCATTTTGGGGCCTCCCCTGGTGGTGCAACAGGTTAAAGCGCAGCACAATGAAGCTATCTGCAGATCCCCTGCCTGGGAAGTGACCCATATGGCGCAGCAGACCTCTCCTGACCTGCCCACTGCTCCCCTCAGCAGTGTTTCAGTAAATCTGCCTGTTCTGTTCCCCACTTTGTCTCTGGTGAATCCTCTCACCACCACCATCCCCCGCACCTTTGGCTTGTACTCGTTTTTGTATGCATAAATAATCTTTTTTTAAAAAAAGATTACACATTCCATCCTTGTAAAATTAAATCTCTAACAAAATATTCCTATAAATATTATCATATAAATTTACTTTTTTGCAAGCCTGCTAAATACAAGGTATTGGCCCTGGTTTGTAAAGACAAGACAATTCTTGCCTTCCAGAAGTTCATAATCTATTAGGAAGATGGAAATAAAAATAAGTATCAAACATGCAAAAAATTTAAAATCCTGCCAAAGTTCTAAAAGAAGACATAAAAATCTTTAGTTGGGAAGGTGGGATATTACTTCAATAGTGACATTTGAGCAGAATCAGTAAAAAAAAAAAAAAAAAGCAGAAATATAGCATGAAAGAGAAAGTGCTATGGGTTATATGTGAGAAAGTACAAAGCATAAGGTCAGGGAGGTGAGGACAGACAGAAGGACAAAAATGCACAAGAGGCACAAGGAGGCAAGATGAGCGCCACAAGCAAGAATTTCTATTTCCTCATTAGAATTACAGTGAAAACAACACTGAACAAAACAATGTCACTTGAGGATCTGTCATAAATGACTAGGGTAACATTCTAGAAGTAGATTTGGTGGGTCAAAGAGCACACATATTGTTAGATCTACCAAAATGTTCTACAAAGGGACACCTCAAAGCGTGTGGGTATAGTTGCAGATCACTGAAATAAAGTGAATACTGCAGTAAGTCAGTTACATACAAATTTTTCAGCCCCACATACATATAAATGTTTACATTATGCCGTAGTCTGTCAAGAATGCATGGCTAAGAAAAACAATGCACAGACATACCTTAATGTATCACAGAAACAAAATGGGCACAAAATGCTGCTTCACATGGTTTGCCACAAACCTATGACTTGTAAAAATAGCTCATCATTTCCAAAGTGCAATTAAGCAAAGCACAAAAAACAAGGTCTGCCTGAAGAAAGAGTGCTTTTTCCATATCCTAATTTATATTGTTGTATTAGCCCAGGATGCATAGCAAAATAACACCGACCAAGTGTCTTAAACAACAGGCGTGTATTTTCTCACATTGCTGGAGACCAAAAGTCCAAGATCATGTTTCCAGCAAAGTGAAGCTCCATTAAGAGCTCTCTTTCTGGTTTACAGATAGCAGCCCGGTCACTGCAGGCTCAGATGAGTATTCCTTGGAATAGGTGAGTGGGCAGAGATCTCTTTCTTCTAATTCTTTTTAAAAAGCCATCAATTCTATCAGGTTAGGATCGTATCCTTATGATCTCACTTAATCTCAATTACCTCCTAAAAGTCCCATCTCTAAACAACCACACTGGGAGACAGGGTTTCACATATGAATTGTGGGGTAAGGGGCAAACAATTCAGCCCATAGCCAGTATATTATCAAAAGTGTTAATCCTAGGTGAAAAATGGTGTTTCAGTGTAATTTGATTGCTAAGTCAATGAATTGATGATCTTTAACAATTCCAAATCTGGCCCTCCCTGGTGGCACAGAGGGTTAAAGCACAGCACTAAGAAGCTAAAGCCACTTCAGCATGAGTTTGCTCCCTGGCCCTGGAGGCGACCCACATTGCGTGGCAAAACTTTCCTGGCCCACCCACTGCTCCCCTCAGCAGTGTACTTTGGATGATCTGCCTGTTCTGCTCCCCATTCTGTCTCTGGTGAAGCCCCTTACC